CATTTTTCTCCTTTCTGGTTGAAAGTAATAGTAATGATTTTGTCATTGGCCAGTCTTCTCTATATCCAGCATTACCTCTCCAAATGTCAGCTCAACTCTGCCCCCTAGAGTAGAGAAACCAGAGTGCCTTGACCATAACTGAACTCTATTAAGTTCATAATTCTGACAGGGGCTTTTCCAGAGGACTGCCACTTCCTACTTTACATGCTTCTACATTATTTCAAAGTGTGTCAGATTTTGATTTTATAAGTTAAAAATTTACATTTTAAGGGGAAAAATTATCTACAAATACAATTTTATTAGAAGTGTTATTTTGTGATATAAAGAAGGTGATTCTGCCGAAACCGGTTTGGCTTAGTGGATAGAGCGTCGGCCTGCGGACTGGAAGGTCTCGGGTTCGATTTTGGTCAAGGGCATGTACCTTGGTTGCGGGCATATCCCCAGAGGGGGCGTGCAGGAGGCAGCTGATCGATGATTCTCTCTCATCGATGTTTCTAACTCTATCCCTCTCTCTTCTTCTCTAAAAAAAAAAAAAAAAAATCAATAAAAAATTTAAAAAATTTAAAAAGAAGGTGATTCTCTCTCATCATTGATGTTTCTATCTCCTTCTTCCTTCCCCTCTGAAATCAATAAAAATATATTTTTAAAATATATAAAAAACAAGGTAATAAGCTGGCAACTTCATTTTCAGAAAGTCTCCCTTCCTCCATGTACTATGATGCTGAAAATAGAGTGAAAATAGACTTCCTCCCAGTTTGATAAAATATAAAGTTCCTAATCATGATTTTTCCAGGTACTGCCATTCTTGAGTCCAGGGAACAGAAAAACCTTCACAGGTGCCTTGGCTGGGGTAGGAGGTGGCAGCTGTCTCAGCCAGCCAGCCACTGGGCAGAGGAAACTCCTTCCATTGGCTCTTATTCCCATGGATGGACCACCTCTCCCAGACCTTCCTTTAGGGGCCAGAGCCAATGAGCAGACCATCCCCAGGAACTTGGTTGACAAGACAGAGAAGCCCTGAAGGAAACCTGTGGAGACAACTGCTTTCCCACAACTGCAGCACAGCGCTGGCCTTGCTGGCAGGTCAGGCCCCATCCTCCCCCGCGCTGGTGGCAAATACCAGGGTAACGTCACCATGGAAAGCTCGCAGTTATCTTTTACGTGTTTAACAAGCATAAAACTGTGTATAAAGGCTACAAAATGGATGAAGGTGTTAGCAGTATGAAAACTGAAATAATTCAAGTCAAAGATCATCACTATTTTACTTTTCATTGTTTTCCTCTTCTTGCCTTCTCCCTTTCCTTCTTTCTACTGTTAATGTCAAAGTTAGTTTGTGTCTTACCTAATCAATCAATTATAGTATCAGTTATAAGCAGTTTGGGGAGATACTCTTCTTTACAACCAGAGACTAGCTGCCGTTGGGCATTTGAAGATTCAAGACTGAGACAAAGACTACATCAGAAGAGTATTAGAGAATGCTCGAATCTTTTCCTTTATGGAAAAAAAAAAATAGTGATAGAATATGGCCTCAATGTGCTAATTGACCTGGTTGCATAATCATTTCATGACGTGTACATATGTCAAATCATTGTGTTGTACAATTTAAACACATAGAATTTTATTTGTCCATTATACCTTAACAAAGCTGAAAAAACAAGTAAAACACATGCTCACTTCAGCAGCACGTATACTAAAACTGGAATAACACAGAAAAGACTGACTGCTGAGCAAAGTGACACAAATTTATAAAGTGTTCCATACTTTTTAAATAATTTATGGGATGTAATAGACAATATTGCAACTCTAGTTACTCAGTATATTTGAACATTGGTAAGAGAGTGGATTGTAAAACTCATTATAGGAAAAAAATTGTAACTATGTGTGGTGATGGATGTTAGCCTTGTTGTGATAATCATTTCACAATTTCTATAAATGTTATACATCTGAAACTAATATAGTGTAATATGTCAACTATAGGCCCAGTGCACGAAATTCGTGCACTAGGGGTATGGGGTGTCCCTCAGCCCAGCCTGCACCCTCTCCAATCTGGGACTCCTTAAGGGATGTCCAACTGCCTGCATAGGCCTGATCTTATTGGGCCTAAATGGGCAGTCAGACATCCCTCTCACAATCCAGGACTGCTGGCTCCCAATTGATCACCTATGTGCCTTCCTGACTGCCCCTAACCACTTCTGCCTGCCAGCCTGATCATCCCCTAACCACTCCCCTGCCAGCCTGGTTGATGCCTAACTGCTCTCCCCTGCCAGCCTGTTTGCCCCTAACTGCCATCCCCTACAGGCCTGGTCCCCCCCACTCAACTGCCCTTCCCTGAAGGCCTGGTCACCCCCAACTGTCCTCCCTTGCAGGCCTGGTCCCTCCCAACTGCCCTCTCCTGCTGGCCATCTTGTGGTCGCCATCTTGTGTCCACATGGGGGCACCCATCTTTGATCACATGGGGGCAGCCCATCTTTTGTGTTGGAGTGATGGTCAATTTGCATATTATTCTTTTATTAGATAGAATTATGTTTAAACTAAGGACCAGTGCATAGATTCATGCACATTGAAAGGAAATTAATTAGAAGAAATATTTTAGAGGCTGGGGAGGGATCTCAGGAGATTGGCCAGCCAGGGAGCAACCTGGGGAGAGCATGTCTGGCCAGTCTCGCCCAGGCCCAGGCCAGGGAGATCAGGGCTGGGAGAAACCAAGGGAGGGCTCTAGGGTGTGTCCGGCCAGTCTCACCCACTCCCAATTGGCCAGACCCCAGAAGCAAGCTCACCTATCAGTCAGAGCATCTGCCCCCTGGTGGTCACTACATGTCATAGCAACTGGTTGAACTGTCAGTTGGACACCTAACATATTAGGCTTTTATTATGTAGGATAAAAATAATTAATAAATAGCCCTAACTGATTTGGCTCAGTGGATAAAGCATCAGCCTGTGGATTGAAGGGTCCCAGGTTTGATTCCGGCCAAGGGCATGTACCATGGTTGTGGGCACATCCCCAGTAGGGGGTGGGCAAGAAGCAGCTGATCAATGTTTCTCTCTCATCGATGTTTCTCTCTATCTCTCTCCCTTCCTCTCTGTAAAAAATCAATAAAATATATATATTTTAAAAAATAATTAATAAGTAAATGGTAAAGAATATGGCTGCATAAAGATACAACCAAGAGCACACAGCAGACCTCAGAGAATCAGTCTCCACTCATGTAATCAAAACGGTAACTTCCTCCCACTCTGGCTCGCTTCTCAAATACTGCATTAGGACTCACTGCTAAAGAGAAATGGAGGCCCTGCCTTGGGTTAGGAGCACAAGTCAGAATGAACTAAACTCTGTTCCTAACTCTGCCACCACACCTGTGAAGGCCTGATGTTTTCTAAACATCAGTTTCCTCAGCCAGCAAGTAAAGAGAAGAATAGGTCCCACCTTACAGTGGTGAGGATTGTTCTAGGTAATGCTTTAAAGACTTCAGACTAGTGGTTCAGTGGTTGAGGGTTGACCTATGAACCAAGAGGTCACGGTTCAATTCCTGGTCAGGGCACATGCCCAGGTTGTGGGCTGGATTCCTGGTGTGGGGTATGCAGGAGCAGCCGATCAATGATTCTCTCTCATTATTGGTGTTTCTATCTCTCTCTCTCTCTCTCTTCCTTCCTCTCTGAAATCAACAACAACAACAAAAAAGAAATATATGGCCTCAGCTTAGTATTTGGCATGTTAACTACCAGTCCTTATTAAACGCTGGCCGTTAGACATCTATACTAGGGGTGTCGAACTCAATCAGAGAAGGGGCCAAAATCTAAAATCCAGCCTAAATCGTGGGCCGAATGGTTTACTGAACAGTCATAAACTGTCATTGTGATGGAAATGCAGCAGAGTGCAGTGATGACAGCGCGGTGCGGGCCACATTGCAAGGCCTGGCGGGACGGATTTGGCCCGCAGGCCGTGTGTGTGACACATGTGATCTATACCAATGAAAGGGCAATATGCTAATTAGACCAGGAGACCTTCTGGGAGATCTTCCAGACATCCTTCCGGACAAAGCCATGGTGGCACAGCTGAGGCAGAGGTGGTTAGGGGTGAGCAGGATGGCCGTGTGCGCGTGTGTGTGTGTGTGTGTGTGTGTGTGTGTGTGTGTGGAGGGGTGCAGTTGGGAGCGAGCAGGCCAGCGGGGGGGGGGGGGCATTTGGGAGTAAGCAGGCCAGCGGGGGATAGTTGGAGGTGATCAGGCCAGCAAGGGAGTGCAGTTAGGGACGAGAAGGCAGGCAGGCAGAGTGGTTAGGGGCAATCAGGCAGGCAGGCAGGCGAGCAGTTAGGAGCCAGTAGTCCTGGATTGTGAGAGGGATGTCCAACTGCCTAAACTGGCAGTCGGACATCCCCTGAGGGGTCCCAAATTGGAGAAGGTACAGGCCAAGCTAAGGGACACCCCCCATGCACAAATTTCGTGCACTGAACCACTAGCACTTGCATAATTATTTCTAATAAGGAAGTAAACCTAGAGTCACACCAATGACATTTAAGATTATTTTGATGCTGATGTGAAGAAGGACTAGTGAAGAAGTGTGGATGGCTCTTTAAATATCTTTCTTTACATTTTCAAGAACTACTTTATTAAAATACTTTTCATCCTTCTTACTAGAGGCCTGGTGCACAAATTCATGCCTAGGTGGGGTCTGGCTGCCCGTATAGGGGCTGATGGGGCCAGAGGAAGGAGACGTGGGAGGTTGGCAGTTGATCCCACCCAGATGGGGTGAAGGGGACCAATAGGGGTAGGGCTGGTTAGGGGGAGGGGCCACCGTTGGTTGGCCAATCACCCCACCGCCTGGTCAAACTCCTGGTTGAGGGGACAATTTGCATATTAGCCTTTTGTTATGTAGGTTTCCCATAAAAGGACAACAAAACAGATCAAACTCTCAACTCGGATGCCAGAGCTGGAGTAGGATGTCTTCTTGGGGAGCAGTGGAACCAGAGCCCACTTCCATCGTTCAGCATCGCAGACAGTATTTTCCAGCTACCTGCAGTGTAGTGTACAGAAGCCAAAAAACACAGCAGCCTCTGTCGTCCTAACGTGGAAACGAAGTACTATTTGGGTCCTTGCTCCAAGAGAGGGACCACGTGTGCTTCTGCATGCTCTTCCTTCCTAGAGCTCCTCCTTTCCTCCACCTTCTTAAGGGATCTCGTCTCCATCCGCAGGCATTCTCTTTCATTTCTGTCCTTTCTGCTCTCAGGTCCCTGGAAGAGAAGGATCCAAAAAGCTAATAACGTCCCGCCATTTCTCTTATAATTATCAGAAATGAAGAAAGGCCTGATCATTGAGCAGACTTCCACATCTTAGTTTCTTATAATAAATTAGCATGAGCCTAAGGGTGGTGCTAAGGATTTTAGTCATAAGTAAAAGGAATAGGGGACCTTTGAAGGTCTATGGAGGAAACTCAGCTTGCACGTGACTGACTCTTTGCCTCTGACACAAAACTGAAAAGGAATGTGGCAAGTGAATTATACATGCAATGATTCTAACCTCCCTGTGTCCACTCCCTTAAAATATACTAATAGTAGGGTTTGCATTAGTTTTAATCTAAGGATTTGGTGAAGACTGAAGTGTCAAAATGACACCCAAATTATCCACAGTCCCCAGCAGGTTACCCAGGGGCCCATATTCACTGGAGCAGGAGATACAGCACCAGCTATAGAGATCCAACTTCCTGCATTTTATACCTAGGTGGAGGGACACAGATAATAAGACTAAAAAGCAACAAGAGAATAACTAATAGTGATGAGTGCAATGATAATTATGAACAGGCGGATATGACAGAGAACTATATATTTGGGGGAAAGGTGGCTTCTTTAGTTTCCATGGTCAGGGAAGGCCTTTCAAAGGGATTATTGACCAAAACAAGAGCATTGATAGATGTGGTGATGATGAAAAGTTTACACTTTTCTCTTTTAAAGTAAAAGAAATAAAACCATTGTTCTCCCCTCCTTCTTCTGATCTAGAAACGCTCGGGAACCCCTAAATGCCTACCAAGTGAACTGGCACAGTGGTGAGCGGCAGTGAGATGAGCAAGGTCCCGGCTCAGCCCGCAGGGATGACAGTTATTCTGCAATGTAAACTGTTTGTATGATGTACCAGGATCACTTCATTTCGATCCATATGAGTCCATTCGTCAAAGACAGAAAGCCAAACAAATGATGAGGCTGAGATACAAACTAAGAGGAACTTAACAACTGAACTAACTCCATAAATGTGCCTCCAGATTATTTTCATTAGGTTGCATCGATTGTATTAGATCTATCAGTCTGATCAAAATTTATTTAGCAGTCATGAATGTCTCCACTACTTTAAAAAAAAAAAAAAAAACAGTATAAAAAAAAGAAAATATAGCCGAGACCAGTTTGGCTCAATGGATAGAACGTCAGCTTGGGGACTGAAAGGTCCCAGGTTGGATTCCGGACAAGGGCATGTACCTTGGTTGCGGGCACATCCCTGGTAGGGGGTGTGCAAGAGGCAGCTGATCGTTGACTCTCTCTCATATATATATATTTTATTGATTTTGTACAGAGAGGAAGGGAGAGAGATAGAGAGCTAGAAACATCGATGAGAGAGAGTCATCAATCAGCTGCCTCTTGCACACCCCTTGCTGGGGATGTGCCCGCAACCAAGGTACATGCCTTGACCTGAATCGAACCTGGGACCTTTCAGTCCACAGGCCGACACTCTATCCAGAGTCAAACTGGTTTCGGCTGAAATATTTTTCTTATCTCACTTAGAAACAAAATGTGAAAATTATCAATATAAGCCAATTGAGTTTTTCAGTATCAAAATGATATTGAAAAGTCATTTGTTGTTGGTCGTAATCAGCTACAAAAGCAGTTTCTGGTCTTTTAAATGCTAAAAGATACAGAATTTAAATCTCCACATTAGTATGCAGCTGGTGCTCACACAAAAGATAAAAAATATCATTTATAAATTCTGACAAGTCACACTTTTTAATGTAGTTAGCTTTGGAAAGGTGTGTCAGTTGTGAAATAGAAAAAAAGGTTTTAAAATATCTGTATGTGTTCTGAGTTTTTAATTTTGTATTAAGATAAACTTTATAATATACTCATTAAAACTGATATGAGAAAATATTTAATTTAAAATTATTTACTATAAATATTTTATCATATGAAAATTGAAATAATTTTGTAAATTCCTAGCAGATTTCTAGTTATTATAGTATACTAGAGGCCCAATCTGTGCACCGGTGGGGTCCCTCAGCCCGGCCTGCGGGGATCTGACTTCCCCCGAGAGGTCCTGGATTGCAAGAGGGCAGTTTTTGTGTGACACACCCCGGAATTGGGCTCCTTCCTCCCTGGTTCCAGATGTGTCACCGAGAACTACCAATGCCAAGTGACCACAGCTCAGCAGCTCCTGCATTGAGCGTCTGCCCCTTGGTGGTTAGTGTGGGTCATACCTACAGCTGGTCACTTAGACTTTTATATAGAGAGATACCTATTAAAAGAATTCTTGAGTTAAAAAAAAAAAAAAAGAAAAGTTGAAAATGCTGCCTTGGTTATCTTGGCATTCAAAAGGAAGAACTTGGGCCCAGCCAGCATGGCTCAGTGGTTCAGCCTTGATCTATAAACCAGAAGGTCACAGTTCAATTTCTGGTCAGGGTACATGCCCGGGTTGCAGGCTAGATCCCCAGTAGGGGGCATGCAGGAGGCAGCCAATCAATGATTCTCCTTCATCATTGATGTTTCTATCTCTCCCTCTCCCTTCAACTCTGAAATAAATAAAAATATATATATTTTTAAAAATGAAAGAAAGAACTTGGGAAATGAATGGAGCAACATGTTATATTTTAGGAATAATGCGATAAATATTTCAATAAAAAAAACACATTTACACACTTTCTTTTTTTCCAATGTTATGTTTTTTTGTGTGTGTGTGTGTTTTTATTTATTTTTACATATTTTATTGATTTTTTTTATTTTTTCATTTACACATTTTCAGGGCTTATAATATTAGCAAATGATTTCACTTAAGCAATTTTATAAGACTATGTGAAAAACAATTTTAGGCCATTAGAATCAACAAAGAAGTGTTTAGATTAAAGTATTTTCAAAATATATTTATATCCTACCTTATTCCAGAAAGAATTTAAAGCAGTTAGTAAATTTCCTGAATGAATATAATTAGTAACTTTAAAGTGTAGTTTTAAAACAGGAATTCCTTCACTTCTGCTTTATTCTTGCAAAAATATCATAATCTTAATCTAACTATGAAGAAATACCAGAAAAAAACAAATTGAACATCATTCTAAAAAGTAACTGCCCTGTATTCTATCTGACAGTGTTACAAAAGCTAAGTAAAGACTGAGGAACTGCAGCCAGGGAAAGAAAAACACACACACATACACATTAAAGAGAATGAATTGCTTGCAACGCATGATCTGAAATCTCCCTACAAAAAAATATTATCAGGTCAGAAGATTAGATACAATCTGCATTTTGAGCTGGCCCTAGGTAGCTAGGGGGCTGAGGGGACTGGGGGACATCGGAGGCAAGCAGGGCAGAGGGGATTGGGTTCCACCATCATGTGACTCTGGGCGCCACCACCTTTGAGGGTGTGGCAGTCAATTAGCATATTCCCTGTTATTGGCTGTAGGTGCTGCCTTCAATTAGCATATTCCCTCTTTAGTAGATAAGATAATAAAAGATTAATATGCAAATTAGCCTTTTGACCAGGAGTTCAACCAGGGAGCAGGGACAGCTGGCCAACTGCCCACAACCCCTCCCTCCAGCTGGATCAGTCCTTGATCTGCTCTCTCCCACCCTAATCGGCCAGACCCTGCCTGTGCACGAATTTGTGCACTGGGCCTCTGGTTTATAATAAGGGTGATGAAAGCAGTCTCAAAGAACTGGAGAACCTCCATAACAAAAACATTCCACTAATGGTCCTCCAGGAATTTTTCCTACACCAGATGCCTTCAATAAGAGTAATTTAAAATTATGTACATCTGGGCTATGTACAAAAAAACTGAGTGTCATTTTTCAAAGATCTCATCAATGAGCTATAAATGAAAAAGTTAGATTTGTTCTCCACAAGTATGGGGAGGAAGAATCCTTTGGGTTTCCTTTTCTAAACTCGCTTAAATATTAATAATTCTGTTACATACCAAAGACACAGAGCGTTTGGTTCTAAAGCACAGTTGTTGCTCAAAGGACTCTGAAAATGCCCGAGTTTTGGAATGGGATCTTCTGTTTGATTCCAGCGGATCCCTGAATGGCCCATCCTCTGAGTGTTTTCTGTAATCCTTCATGTGGGTACGGCATCGAAATCCCTGGTCCTCATGAGAATGCCTTCTAGGATAGCTGTCATGTGATGTGACTCTGGGAAGCACAGGAAACTGAGAATATAGAATAAAAACGTTTACAATATAAAGAGACTGCGTGAAATTAGCTCAGAGACAGAACAACCATAAGTTACTAACTAAACAAATCTCAGGTTGAACTGAAATTTTATCTTTTTCATCAGTGTGACTTTTCTTCTACAATAAAGCAGTAGAATCAATCGGTTAAATCATTAAGTGAAGCATCCCAAGACTAGCTATCTTGCTCCTCCACCATTAGGTCAATATAATGAAGCATTCAAAGCCTTGAATTGATATGTATAAGTAAATTCAAAAATTACAACAAATTTTAATGAAACCATACATGTTTAAGAAATAATACAAAAATGAATATGTGATTTCTGTATAAAGAAGAAATTTGGTCTTCGAACTTTTAGTTGACCTGGATGTTCTTTGTCTTTCACATTGAAATCATCACTTTTAAAATGTTTAAACTAGTATTCACAAGTATCTTGAGCATGTTCACCATAAGCCTCCTGAAGTATTCAGTAGCACTTTTCTTTAAAATAAAGTAATGAATTAAAACTTCCCACAAGTGCTCTTTTTTAGGAACAAAACTCAACATTTTTAAGTGTAAAAATATCTATAATGTTAACACCTTCAGAAAATTTGACATATGAAGTTTTGAAGCTTGTTATCAATACAACAAAATAACATACATATCAAATTGCATATATATTAACATATGTATAACTCCATCAATTGAAAGAAAATCTGCATTATTAACTAGTACACCTAGTATGTGCTGCTGAAGTTAGCACCAAAGAAGAAATTTCTAAGCAGAAGAGCAATGGAATAAATCAGAATGAAAAAAAAATTAATTTAACTATGTAAAAATAAAAATGCTAATATGCATCAAAAGCAACTTAAAGTTAAATAGTAGACAAAAACCAAAAAACATGTGCTACGTGTTACTAATCTATATAATAAAAACCCAGTAGTCATAACACTGTAATGACCAAAGACCGGTCACCAGGAGGTGCATTGATGTGACTCTCACTCCCTCCCCCTGCCCTGGCCTGTGAGTGGTGGCTCTTGAAGTAATGGACAGGGTGGCCAGCTGAGGCAAGCAGAAGCGAGCAACTCGTACATGATTTTGTGTGCCCTGGGCCTCTAGTGTTTAATAATATCCTGACAATACAGCCGAAACTGGTTTGGCTCGGTGGATAAAGCATCAGCCTGCGGACTGAAAGATCCCGGGTTAGATTCTGGTCAAGGGCATGTACCTTGGTTGTGGGCACATCCCCAGTAGGGGATGTGCAAGAGGCAGCTGATTGACAATTCTCTCTCATCAATGTTTCTAACTATCTATCCCTCTCTCTTCCTCTCTGTAAAAAATCAATAAAACATATTTTAAAAATATATATCCTGACAATACAGAGTTTATCTTACATATATAAGAAAAACATAGAAATCATGTAATACAATGACATAAGTGTTCAAATCAATTGGAAAATGATCACAGAATAATATTTCAGAGAAATCAAACTTCTTAGAATTATGACACTTGCTCTCCCAATTTTTCTCACTACCCAACCCACTCCATTCAAACTTTTGTATCCACAACTAATTTCGGTTATGATATTGGTCTCAATTTTGCCAAGTTCTGTGCACATTTTGATCTTGATTAATTCAGTAGCATTCAACACATTTGCTCTTCTGTTAATCAGCTTAACAATAACCCACAACCTTCGGACCAACTACATTTGCTCTTCTGGAAACACTCTTTCCCTTGCCTTCTACCACTGTACCCTTAGTTTCCCTTTGCTCTTTCTTCCTGTGTCCTCACCCTCCACTTTTGCCTCACTAATAGCTAATCATCCTTCAGTCAGCACTGAAACTGCATATCCCCAGAGAGCGTTTCCTGCCACCCTGAGCGGTTCAGGTCCCTGTTAGATGTTCTCCTGGGCGCTCCTACCTCTTTACCCTACTCATCACAAATGTAATCGGTAACTCTGTAACATGTCTCTCTTCTCCATTAATTTGTATCTCCATGACATCAAGGGCTATGTTTCATTCTCTGCTGAAATCCCAGTCTCATGCAGCACCTTGCCTTATTCACAGGATGAGTTTATTGAATATCTATTGGATTATATAAAGAATGGGGAAAAAAAAGAAATGCCAAATGATAAAAATTGTTTGTGCTTATTAGTCATCAACAATTATTTAAATGAAATAATGTACAATTTTGCCTTTCGGGTTAGCAAAAATAAAAATAACGTTTCTTAATGATACTAAGAAGTGACAAAAGTGGAGAGAGACAGGACTGTGATTCCCAGCTGGTAGGACTATAAATGGACACGCCTTCCCAGTAAGCCATTGGCAAAAGGTGTCAGAAGATTAAAATATCCTGCTCCTTGAGCAGCCGGGTCGGGTGCGGCCAGGCCCGGAGCAGCAGCAGCCAGGTCAGGAGCGGCGGTGACCAGACCCGGAGCAGCTGGTTGTGGAACGAACCAGAGCAACAGAGGCCAGGCCCGGAACAGCTCGCTCCTCGCCTGTCCCTGCCCCATGGCTGCCTCTCAGACATGGCTGGAAACTTTTGTGGGAACTTGAGGGTCTGCTGAATCAAGTGATGAAGGCTTAGATCTGGATGTGTTGAGTTAGTATAGGGCTGGGGTGTTCACCTGTGAGTGCCTTGGGTGGGGCCTGGATGAGGCTGGTTGACCTATTTGGAAATGTCTTTTGTGTGAAATGTATCATTGGGCATGTGGTGGTATTATTGATATGAGAAAATGCTAAGTAACTGATTTACTATCTGAAAAGGGATTTACTATCAGGGAAAGGGAGGGAGGAAGAGACTGAACATAAACTGCACCTATGGATGAGGACAATGGGGGATGGGGAGGGAGTGGAGGGTGGGGTGGGAACCTGGTGGAGGGGGGAAGAAATGAGGAACCTTTGTAACAATATGAACAATAAAGACTGATTTAAGAAAAAAAAATAAAAAAAAATAAAAATAAAAAAAATATCCTGCTCCTTGGATCCAGCTATTGAGTGTTGTAATGGGCTGAGTTGTGTCTCTCCCCTCCAATTCACATATTGAAGCCCCATGTGGGAAACTCAGAATGTGACCTCATTTGGTGCTGTAACTTTAAAGATTGGGTTGAAGTAAAGCCACTAGGGTGGGCCTTCATCCAGTCTGACTGGAGCCCCAATAAAAGAGGAAATTTTGACACACAGAGACCACCAAGGACATGTTCACACAGGAAACACCATGTGAGGACACAGTGAGGCGGTGGCTGTCGCTAAGCCTAGGAGGGAACCCCAGAAAAACCACATCTGCTGACTCCTTAATCTTGGACTTCCCACCCCCAGATCTGTGAGGACATAAATTTCTGTTGCTCAAGCTCCCAGTCTGGGGCATTGTGTTATGGCAGCCCTGGCAGACAAATACACGTGTCTAGAAACTTACTGTCAAACGGTGATCAGAAATATGGTTAAAGATCTGTAAAGCTGCCATATACATGAGGGAAATGTGTACGTACAAGTCCATTTATGGTCCTTGGTGCTGTGAATAAGTTAGGGAGCAAAACAGGCAGAGTGTGCTCATCTTGGTGCTCATGTCTGCCTCGGAGAAAAAACACAAAACACATACCCACACGCTCACTCCTTTGGCACATGCAACAAAGGTTCAAGGTGGCCCTGGCCAGTTTGGCTCAGTGGATAGAGCTTTGACCTGCAGACTAAAAGGTCCTGGGTTTAATTCCTTGTACCTCAGTTGCAAGCTAGATCCCCGGCCCAGGTCAGGATGCATGCAGGAGGCAGCCAATCCATGTGTCTCTTTAACATCGAGATTTCAGTCACTCCCCCTCCATTTTCATTCTCTCTAAACAGCAATGGGAAAACATCCTCGGGTAAGGATTAACCAAAAATCAGCAAAACTCGGAGGTTCAAGGTGCAATGAGAGGATATAACAGGGTGAAACTGTGTGTACTTGGGTGGGTGAGGCTGGGAGGATTAGCAGGAAACTTCCGTGTAGCTGTAATGACTAAGCTGCAATCTGAAGGACAAGCAGGGTTAATTAGCGAGCAGGAACATTTTCTGCCTGAGGACTAGCACCACTGTGCCCAGGCCCGTCACAGGAGGAGCTGCGGTGTGGAAGGAAGAGAAGCCTGCTGGGGCGGGGGGCCTGGGGGAGGGAAGCTGGAGTGAGGAGGTGTGGAGGGGTTGAAGTAAGGGGGTAGCATAAAATGGGCAATCTGAAAACATACCGAACTGTGGTCAAAGGTTTTCTCAGCGATGTGGGACTGTTTGTTTCCTCCTCCTTCTTAGTATTTTTCAAGTTTTCCACAATAAGTGAATTTACATTATCAAGGAAAAAAATGATATTTTAAAATTTTGAGCTAGGCAGGGAAGCATAAATAACGCATGATTCCACGTACATGAGGTATCTAAAATAGTTAAACTCAAAAAAAAAAACAAAACAAAAAACCCAAAACACATAAATAGTCAAACTCATAGAAGCAAAAAATAGATTGATGATTGCCAGGGGATAAAGGAGGGGAAATGGAAAGTTGCTAATCAGTGGATATAAAATTTCAGTTATGCAAGATGAATAAGTTCCAGAGATCTGCTTCACAGTATTGTGCCTCTAGGTAACAATGGGTTACATACTTTAAAAATTGCAAAAAAAAAAAAAAATCTGCTAAGGATATAGATCCCAGGTTAACTGGTCTTACCACAATAACACTTTTTATAATTTTAAAAATATGTTTTTATTGATTTTTTTTGTTGTTGTTAGAGAGAGAGAGAGAGAGAGAGAGAGAGAGAGAGAGAGAGAGAGATTGATTGGCTGCCTCCTGCACAACCCCTACTGGGGATGGAACCCACAACCTGGGCATGTGTTCTGACCGGGAATGGAACCAGTGACCTCTTGGTGCATGGGACGACACTCAACCAATTGAGTCACACCAGCCAGGAACCACAATAACATTTTCAAACAAAATTTTAAAATGTGAGACCGGGAGGTCTGAAAAGAATGGCATAGTTTTGCCCAG